GAGCGGCAAGGCGAGGAAATCCTCCGAGAACTCCTCTTGGCCAATGCGGAAGGGCACGACGCGGTACGCGCCCTGGCACGGAACGCGCTCGCCGTTGGCCACCGTGATGCGCATCTTCTCGGTGGTGGGGGATGGCAGCGTAGCACGAGCGGCCGCCTCCTCGGCGATGAAGTTGTGGGTGGAGCCTGAGTCAATCAGGGCGAGGAGGGAGACACCCCCGAGAGTAATATGCATCTGCATGGTTTCGCTCGTGCGCACCCCAGAGATTGCGTGGAGCGAGATCTGAGGGTCGGCCCGTGATGCATCATCAGTAGCGGAGGCCGCGTCGTCGTCGTCGTCGTCCGGCGCTAAGTCGAGGAGAAAGATGCGCTGGCACACGCGGTTGTGGCCCCTGCCAAACTTCTCGTTACAGTTGAAGCATAGGCCCAGGCGACGGCGTTCCTCCATCTCTGTCTGGGAGAGACCTTTGATTGGGCGCCCGTCCGGCAGATTGTGGCCATGCTGGGGTGCGGCTGGTGGGGCCGGTGCGGGGGGCGCGAGGCGTGGTCCTAGCGTCGGCAGAATGCCCTTCTGCGGAAAACGCACCGGTGGCGCGGCGGAAAGCGCGCACTGGTCGCGCAGCTCCAATTTGCGAGCGAGGCTCATGGCGACGGCGAGGGACTGCGGGTTATGGATTTCCACGTCGAGGCTGAGGGGTGGCTGGAGGCCTGCGGTGAAGATCTGAACTTTCTGCGTTTCCGACAAGGAGCCTGCCCGGGGAAGGAGCGCCTCAAACCGCTCCTGGAAGTCGACGACGGACGTCGTGCGCTTGCACGCCATCAGTTCACCCAGCGGGTTCGCGCGCAGAGGAGGCCCGAAGCGGAGGTTGAGCAGCTCGGAAAAGCGGCGCCACGGCGGAGTGCCCTCGTCACGCTGGACCTGCATGTACCACATCTGGGCAGAACCCTCGAGGTTGTATGACGCCATCCAGACTTTCTCCTCCTCGGCGATCCGTTGTTGATGGAAGAAGGACTCGCATCTGTTGAGGAAAGCAAGCGGGTCGGACTTGCCGTCGAACTTGGGGAAGTCCATCTTCTGAAACCGCGGGGGCCGATCGTTGTGGTGCTGTCCGTCGTGGCTGATATCGGCGGCTGACGAGGAGGCCGACTTCTCCTTCTGGAGGGCTGCCACGGACGACTGCAGGGATGTCACGGTTGCAGTCAGGGCTTCGATCATCTTGGCCAAATCAGCGGTGGTGGGTTCCGACATGGCGGAAGAAACCGAGGCGGCGGCGGATGGCGGCGATGGAGGTGGGCGGGGCGGCGGGTGCAGCGTGGAGGAGGCCGAGGAGCGGCTGGAACCTGATACCAAGTTGTCAAGGGCCTCAGTGCCCAAGACAGCGGGGCCTCGACTACGTAGTTCGTAGTCTCGGTGGATAGGAGCGCTAGGATTTTTGCCTGGCTGCTCAATGGTGCGGGAGGAGAGGATAGGAGACGGAGGAAGAGGTAGGAGATAATAACTTTATTGCTTGCCCTCAAAGGGTGCTGATTATACGATATATAAAGGCCCCATGAGCTGCTAACAAACTAGAAACCTATACGTAACAAACTAGTCTTTTATTCTAGGAACTAATGTATCAGGACCAGGACTCCTGCCCAGCCTACGCCTCGCCTGATGCGGCCGACGGCTGCTGCTCCTGGCCGCGTGACCCACGCCTGTAGGACGTGCCCCACATGACAGCCCGCATGCCGACTTTTTTTTCTTCCAACTAGTGAACTTTTCAGTAGCCATTGGCTCCGGATGCAGTTGCTTGGCCCGCATGCCGACTTTTTTTTTCTTCCAACCAGTGGACTTTTCCTGCAATCCTTGGCTCTGGAAGCAGTTGCTTGGCCCGCATCCTGATTTTTTCTTCCAACTAGTGGACTTTTCCTGCAGTCCTTGAGTAGTTGCTTGGCCGTCATGCCGATTTTTTTTATTGCAGCTAGCGACCTTTTTCGTAGCCCTTGACTCCAGAAGCATTACTTGGTCTGACTTTTTTTATTTCAACTAGTGAACTTTTTTGTATCCCTTGGACTCGGAAGTAGTTGCTTGGCCCACATGCTCCCTACTGAAGTCACGGGTGATGTGGGTTAAAGGAGCCCACTCCCTTAGATCTAGATCTCACTCTTAACATCACAGCCACGCCAACTATATATACTTATTCACTAGTAACCCTAGCCTACCACCATTCCTCCCCCCTCCCAAATCTTCGGCGGCACGCCGACAGATCCATCAACACATCTATATTCTTGCCGCACGTTTGTTGACCCACTCCGCCGCGACCTAATTGCTCTCCATTCTTCCTCGACGATCACCCTAGGCCCTAGATAGGAAAATTTGGCCCCGATTCGAGACAAGAGTCGTCGAGAAAGCCTGAGTTTACAGGGGGCAAAGCAGAACACGAAGGTGAGAAACCAAATCTAATCAATTTGTGGATGGCAAATTCATCTTTGCGTGTGTGTGCATCCTATGGATACATAGGCTAAATAAATCAATTCCTTTATCATGTTAAAAATTTCACTAGTAACCGTAGCCTACCACCATTCCTTCCCCCTCCCCCTCCCAAATCTTCGGCGGCGTGCCGACAGATCCATCACCACATCTTTATTCTTGCCGCGCGGTTGGTGACCCACTCTCCACAACCTAATTGCTCTCCATTCTTTCTCGACGATCATCCTAGGCCCCAGATAGGTGAATTTGGCCCCGATTCGACACAAGAATCGTTGAGGAAGGCTAAGTTTACAGGACGCAAAGCAGAACACAAAGGTGATAAACCGAATCTAATCAATTTGTGGGTGGCAAATTCATCTTTGCGCGCGTGTGCGTCCCATGGACACATATGCTAAATAAAAAAAAAATCCCATTATCATGTTAAAAAGTTGTTGAAGAAAAATCTCTGTTTTTTTAATGAATATCCACGGTGGCAGAGCTCTTCTTGTTCTTGACACACGCCATGGGGGTGGCGTGGCAGAGCACAGTGCCTCCCCTAGATATATACTAATATCCTTCCGCTAGATTGCGCGAGCAGCGGCTGGTGCCGTGGCCGCCGATTCCAGAATATCTTCCGCCGGATCCATGTTGGTTCATCTTCCCCACTTCATTTGTTTTCTCGTTCCCCCCATTGCGAGTAACCACACCGTTCATTTCACACTGCAGAAGAGGAGGAGACGGCCGCTTCAAGATTAACACTTCTTTTATTGCTGCACCGCTGTAATCTCCCGGCATATCTTCCACCTCCGCCGCCCTACCTTCCGGTTCTCATCACGGCTGCGTCGCCGAGGAGTCTCAGGTAACCTCCCTTCTCCGTCCTCTTCTCCCCCCTCCCTGCGATTTGCTCCGGATTCGAGCAGATCCGTTCTGGTGGTCCGGCCCCTGTTTAGATTCGGATTTACAGCTTGCTCGGTGACGCTGTTGGTTAGAGCTCGTGGTAGGGTGCTAGCTGGATGGCGGATTGGGAAACTTTGTTGTTGATGGATGTGTTGGAATCGTGGAGGTGGGGGTCCTCCACCCAATTTGGGGAAGAAATATCTAGGTGTGGAGAGGGGAACCCATGCTATTGGGGGGATAGCAAAGGGATGGGGATTTTTTGTAACTTGGATAATCGCGATGTTTGTCAATCCGGTCACCGGCCTGCGGGGAAGGCAAGATCTTTCTATAGGCTCCCCTCGGATAAGGAACCCTAGATCTACGCCGCAAGATGTGCCTGTGTGGCCTGTGCTTCAGATTTATCCATCGCACGACGGCGTGCCCAGGTCGTATCCCGACCACTCGAATTGCTTCGAAGCTTGTACATTTGAATTTGCGTCGACTGTCAAATATGTGTATAGGATTATAGTTGGCCTTGTTATCAGTGGATCGTAAGGTGTTGGAGTCAAACACCTGTAATTGGACCTATAATATACTCCCTCGGTCCCAAAATAAGTGTCTCAACTTCAGTACAACTTTGTACTACTGTCAATACAAAGTTGAGACACTTATTTTGGCACGGAGGGAGTATAAAGGAACCACGGGGTAACAAAATAAAAACATGACATGAGGTCATGAGAGGGGTTGTATGGTCACCGTGGCAAGGGTGTCCAAACCTGCCTTGGCGGGTGGTTGGAGACAGTGACGAAGCCTTGTTGAGTTTCCTCGTCGGTTGTGTTATGTCGATTTAATGCACTGGGAGGAGCACCCGAGCAAGGGCTCCTAGAAATGTAGGATTCGGCCCAACTCCGTCATCAAACATCGTCTTGCCATTGTCTACTCTTTGGAAATCCAACGTCTATTCACCGACATATTTATTATACACTATGTTCACTGAGGCGTGTGCTAGTAGTATCCGCATAATTGGTAAGGCTTCTACGGATTCGAGAGGGGGGCAAACGAAACTAGAAAAGAGTCAAGGGGCTTTTCTAGCGTATTATGTTTGTTTTCTACTTCTACTTCAGTCATAAGCCCAAGAAATATGTCCTTACAAATCACCGGTTGACCAACGCTAATCTTCTAGTTAATTAAATCCTATCAACGCGCAATAGTTAGGACCATGAGAGAAGCTTGGGATTCTTCTAGAGGGCAATAGTATGAGTTGCTAAAAAAATGCAAGGTGGAAATATCCAATTCCTCGTACTCCTCATGAAATTGGTTAGATTTTCTCTTTGTCTTCATCAAATTGATCTCTCTTGTTGTGGTTACTTCGCCGGTCTTCTAGCTACATGGTATACCAAGTCAAAATGTCGTGACTATTTTATTACATCTTTCGACTTTATAGTAATACACTGTTTTCCTTTAAAAAAATTGATTTAATGCTTCCTTATCCTTATTGAAGAGCTTGTTAGGTGCCGCAGGAGGGAAGATTTCAAATTTGTTTTATGGCCAAGGATATTTGAGGTTGTGCTTGTTAAGAACTAGGCTCTTGCAGCTATATCCAATTCTACTACTGAGTTCTCCTTGGCCCAAACATTTTTGTGTCCAAGACTGGTAGAGACGGTCTCATTCTTTTTATGGGAGAATATATGACTTTAAAATCTATGAAGAACACCTTTTTATGTCAGAAGGAGAAATCAAAGTCATCAGTAAATTTTTTGGATTTATCCTCAAGCTCGAGTTCGCCAGTTGTGGATGGTGTTTGTTTTGTTCCTACTTCAGAAGATGATCACCATTTGTATAAACGAAGGAGGATGGACAAGAAATGTCATTTTGTTCCGACAAATGCAAATGGAAATAAGAATAGGAGTACAAGCAGAAATGCGATCAAGAGTGCAACAGATGGAAATGCGAGGAAAAGAACAACCAGAAGTTCTGCAACTTTTGAAGATATTTCGCCCCGGGTCCAAAAATTTGGGAAAGCACTTATTGTTCCTTCAGATGGAGAAGTTTCAAAATCTGAAACAAACATTGTTGAATATACAAAAGAATATAAAGATACCGCAGAAGCTTCTAAAAGTTCTTGGAAAAACTCGTCGGTGTCACTTTCTACTGTGGATGATAGGAAGTCAATTTCCATATCAAGCAGGCCATCTTATATAAATCACAAGGTACAGGATTCCAGGGAGTCTGATACAGAATCACTTATGGAGTTAACATCAAGGGAGGTTTGCATATCCTTGCTCGAAAGGGATATAGTTCTCATCGAAAAATCAGAGCTCAGCAGCACATCAACTACATTAACCCATGATGATAATGAAAGCAACACTTTATTTGCATGCAAGAGTTGTGGGTCTTTTGAAGATCCATGCCGCATGTTAATATGTGATCGTTGTGAAGAAGCATTCCACTTGCTTTGCTGCCACCGTCGCATCAAGAAAATACCAGATAATGATTGGTATTGCCTGGATTGTTCAAGGAAGAAACCTAAGAGGCAGCGTGAGATGTTGCCGAGTACAAAAGGATCAGCCAAGCATATTCAAAGACCTCTCCAAGTTCTTGGCTCAAAAGGAGATATGTTGACGAATGCTGAACCATATGAAACTCAAGTAAGGATTGGTAGAGACTTCCAAGCAGAAGTTCCAGAGTGGTCCGGTCCAATTTCTGGGTATGCTCACTCTTGATCAAATTTTACTTTAAGCCTGTCATTGCTACTGGGACAGGAGTAGCAGCTTGAACTTGAGGAGCAATTTCGATTAATGAAAAATTGTGATTTACGTGGAAAGTGTTATCTTTACCATGGGGTACTAAGCATCATCTAATGAAAGGCTGTTCGTCCAGTCAAGATTCTCCAACTTTATCTTTTGTTACCAAAATTCCATGATATACAGAAATAAACAATAAGCAAGATTAAATCCTAAAATTGCATTTAAATTGTATGCCCTACTTCAATTATATTTTTATTGTTTCTTCTTGCAACTTGGCATTATCAAATAAAATTTCTAATAGTAACTCCATCTATGCAGCAGTGATGACTATTTTGTTGAACCTGCTGAACTTGATGCCACTGAAATGACAAATCTGAGTGTAGGTCTCCGCACACTCTGGACCTGTTTAATGATAATTGATAAAAATATTTCCTTATTGGTTATTTTCAGCCATGCATTTTGACATTCTGTGCTTTAGTTGCAGTTGTCACTAAGGCGTGAGGACAAGAAAACCAGCATTGGTAACTGGATTCAGTGCCAAGAAGTCTTGGACACAGGTGCTATTTGCGGCAAGTGGCGGAGGTAACACAGGTCACCCTAATTTCTTTCAATGTTTCTGTCAGTTATGGATTGGTCTATGAGGGCTCGGTTTACCCTCTTGTTGTGTTAGAAGGCTCTTCTGTTTTCTGTGTTTTGTTAAGATCTACTCTCTCCTTTCCCATTTATAAGATGTTCTAACTTTTTCTGAATCGGATGTATATAGACGCGTTTTAGTGTATTTGTTCATTCATTTCAGTCTGTATCGAGTCCATATTGAAATATCCAAAACATCTTATAATTAGGAACGGAGGTAATATCGTTAAGATACACATTCATGTTTTCATTACCCCATGGGAATTTTTGCAGGGCACCACTTTTTGTCGTTCAGTCGAGCGATTGGGATTGCTCATGTTCAGTTCTTTGGGATCCAATTCATGCTGATTGTGCTGTTCCGCAGGTATGTTTCTGTTATATAGTTGCCTCTATTTTGTGTGGCCTTGTGGGATGTACATGGTTGTCTTGCTTTACATGTTGACTGCATTCGGCTAGTCAAGCTCTTCACAAATGATGGTTGGTTATGTTTATATTATTTCTTGACCTCCCTTGTTCAGTCTTTTGGATGTATTAAGCATGTGCAAGTATATTTCATTATTTTCATGCATGCCTATTTGAAGTCGTCTTGGAACCGCTCTGTAATATCACTTATAGTTTTTGCACCATTCAGTATTAATTAAAACCGCAATAGAGAACTGACATCTGGATTGTCCTTTCCATTGTAGGAATTGGGTACCGCTGAAGTGCTTCAGCAACTGAAGTACATAAATAAGGTATGTTCATCTGATCTTTGAAAGTGATTACACCACTGATAAGCAGTTCTTGGGTGTTTTTCTGATATCATGACCTGTTAGCGAAGAATTTGATTTCCACATGCCTCCACATTTACAAGATTGATTTTGGCAAAACTAGTTTTTACCACATCCCACAGGATGACAGATGATTTGAAACAAACATTCCAGCTACCAACTTATAGTTTTCCATACTCCAAAAGTATCGTCCAAAGAAAACCAAACACATGCCTCATGCAGGATTGCCTGATCGTCATAGTTTTGCTCCACTGGCCCGTCAAATTTACTTTAGTTTGTGCCGCGCATTCACTGTTTGAATCCGAGAATTTTGATTCTCATCTCTGCAGCTGAAGCTGCGTCTGGACAGTTATAAGCAGAAACGCTGAAAGATCTACAACCGTCAGAAGTGAGTCGTGCATTTCCTGATGCAACCTACCAACATTCAGCACTTCACCCTACTGCCCTATGCATGAAATTTGATGAATCTTTTAATCATCTTTCTTGTAGCAGGATTTGTCGGCAAAGAAACCTGCAGAGAGGGAAACCGCCGCACCAGTCCCAGCCCTAGTCCCTCCTGCACTGTACCGCTGATGGTTGAATCTCTAGCTCAGTTATCCCCAGTTGGCCTTGGAATGAGGAGAGGTTCTGTGGCGTCGCCTCCGACCATCTAGTTCTGCCTCCCGGCAATGTCTCCTTGCTTTTGAAGCAAATGGCCTTGCTGGTCGAGGATTAGAAGCGAGTTTTTTTTATCTGTTCTTTTAGCGAGATGTAGAACCGAAGGCTCCCGTTACCGTCAGGCGAGCCTACAGCCTTGTGGAGTGAAATCGTGATGGAATTTGTGTTTGACCCTGAACAGTAGGGGAGCCCTTGTCGAGTTTATTGATGCACTGATTGAATGGAAAGAATCATTATGCATCACATTTGTTTGTTATTTTTTGTGTGAATTATTGCATGTCGAAAAGGAGAAGAATCTTGAGCAGGCAGTCCAGGCTGGCAGCTTCATCCAGCTCAGTTTTGTATTGGTTTAGAGTCTTCAGATTCAGAGAAGAAATCAAGCAAGCAAACATTTCTTTTTGTTGTTTTCAAGCTTGAAACGATCATCAGTTGGCAGTGCGTATCAGGATCATTTACTGCTTTACCAATGGTTTTGTCGCAGTTTTGGTTATTAATCTTGTTGAATTGTTCTGGGGCAAGGAGATTACGATTAGGTATGTGGTTAAAGAAGTCCCAAAAATGAAACTGCAGATTTATTTGTAGATCTTTTAGACCAATATTCTGCTGGTAAGCAAGTCTTTTAGATGAATATCCCGCAGGCAAGAAATGATTAATCATGCTAGTATGTGTAGGTAAGAAATGAAAGAGGTGCCCTTAGTAGAGGCAAAAATTAAAAAGATTTATGTCTGTCAGACAACCACTGGGCCAGACAAGGCCTGGCAGCAACGTGCTTGCCTCCTTATTGGTAAAGGATGCAGCGGTACGAGGCTACGAGCCTATAGAACAGATCCTGTTCAAGTAAGGTAGTGCTGTGAACTGCAGCGCCGCGCCTTATAAACCGGTTCCGCTCGCTGTAAACTTCTGAGGTGGGACTAATGTATGGCAAGCAACGCTGAAACGCAGCGCCTCCAAGCGATGTGGGGTGAGAAGGGCTCGTGTCGTGTGGGTCTAGGCCCGTGAAGCTGGGCTGGAGAATGAACGGGGCCCAGCCCATCTAAGAAACATCCGTCGTCTGGTCTGGACTCCAGGGAGCTCCGCCGATCTTTGCAGCAGCAATGGCGACGAAGTAGCTCCTCCCCCTCCCCCTCCTCCTCCTCTAGACCAGCAAGTAAGCAGCAGTATGGGCGTTCCTGAGTAGATCGGTCAAGTGCGAAATCCCTTCCCCACTTAACCCGCCGTTCCTCCCTCCCTGCAGGCTGAAGCCCATGGGCGACGCGGCGGCGGAGCACCACCACGGCGTCGGCGACGAGCCGTTCTTTCGGATGGAGAACCTTCCTGGGTAACTGTCATTCCGCCGGTCCCTCTCTTCCCATTCTTCTCCTCACATCACAGCAAGGGAAAATATTATTACCCTACGGATCCAACCACTGCGTGAAAATTAGTCCTTTGATGTGATTCTTGGGGTGTTCCCGACGGATCTGAACCTTTGGGGCAAAGAAAAAAAAATCTGGTATTTTATGGGCTTTGTTGCCTGGGGCAGGGGCAGGGAGCTTAGATTATAGTCCAATCCATGTCTTTTACTTTTTCAGTGAGCCTCACTTTTACGGTTTATTGCTCAAGTTGTTTGCTACACCAACAGGGATGGCATCAGCTTGCTTGAGTTGCTAGAGAATGGAAAATCCTTGAATTACTTGCTGCCGAATGAGTGTCTACACCACACACTTCTTCCAGGCGCAACGGCCACCTAATTTTGTTACTGAAATCGTTTCTGCTTCGGTAACACTGCATTCGGGTTACAGCTCAAATCAGGCTGCACAAGCTGCGAACTGACAATGGCGTACAATAGCATGCTTCATTCCTTGTTTTCCAAATAGCCCAAATGAACACGGCCATGCAGGCAACCCCTACTGCTAAATTGCAAATTCCAAGAGGCAGTAATAGGATTGGGCCGAAATGAACAATAGACTACACTCTCTGTGTTACTTGGCACCGCAAAATTGTTACAAAGAAGACTGCAAAACACCCATTGAAACTACACTACAAAAAGTTGCAATTTGCATCTGGTCTGATTTCTCTTGTGTGCACTTTCAGGTCATTGTGTGTTCTGATTTGAGTAATTATTAGTGTCTATTGCTCGTCTACCAGTTAGTTTTAGTTGAAGTTCAACCTGACTAAAAATCCAGACCGTTTCTTGTCACAGGAGGTTCAACCTGTTGTGATGTCACCGATTCCACTTAAAGAGGCTGTGAGGACAAGCATTGTTTCGAGAAGTTGGAAAATGCTTTGGACGTTCCACTGTAATCTGTGTTTTTATGGCCCCAGTAATCTGGATTTACAACTGATGAACGATCCATTAATGATCTTCTCAAAGTAAAACGAGCTAAGTTCATTGAGGATGTAAATTGGGTTATTCAGTGGCATAGTTGAATAGATCATGGCTTTCACCTGAAGAAAACTTGTTCGCCATCTAAAGAAGTTCATCACTTTCCTCTCGAGGCCTTGGGTGTTCAAGTCAGCTCTTGTGTGCACTCCTTGTTTCTCGCTATTGTTTCTATAAAGCCACACTCAGTTATATGTGACTTTACAGTACTCAAGACTTAATCTGGAATATGTTCATATATTTGGAGACTTTCCTGTCTTGCTAGCAAACTGTTCAGCACTCAAGGGCTTAGAGACCATCGAGTGCTTTGGTGTAACTAATTGAAGCATACCGCACTAACTTGACAAGCTTCAATGTTTATTAATTTCCCTCAAATTATTTTTTACTAATTGACTGACTGAATTTTGAAATGGTCGAGTTTCATGCTGCTGATCTTGTTTTGTTTTTATTTTTGAAACAGAGTGTTGCCCATTTTGAGCACGAAGGACAAGAGATCCCTATAGTACTTCATGGCTGCTCAAAATTAGAGAAGGCTACAATAATGTTTAAAGGCAGCAAAGGGCCGCCCGTGTATTCATGGATATGAACAGGTTACCTGGTGTTTATGTATTTAGTTATTCATTCTTGTTTGCGTACATTATAGTTCTTGAAACTGTGTTTTAGTGTCATGTTTAGTTGTAGAAGCTGACAACAAAACCACATGGCATGCTTCTTCATTTGAGTCATCTGACTTGTCAATTAACTGTCTTCTGTAGACAGCCAAATGCTGATAATGGAGTTCTTCAACTTGCCCGCTCCTTGGATGTTGTGCACTTGTGCCCCGACTGGAGACGTTGGATTTGGATGTGAGTGCCATTTTATCAGTTCAAATAAACAAATACATGGATCTCAGGTATACTGCTGCTGCATAATTGCTTCACTTGTCAGGAAGACCTGTACTTGGACTGCTTTGACCGACCGATCGCAAACTTTGAAATGCAGATGGTATATCTGAACCTTGAGAATGGTGGGAGCGATGAGGTGGTGGAGGAGGAAGGCTCCCTCCCATATGCGTCACCGTTACCATCTCAAGACGGTCCACATGAGCGGTTTTTGGTGCTACATTGCTCAGGTCAAACTGGGGTGCTGTATCTTGCAGAATGCTTGTTTTCTTGAGCACATGGAAATACAGCCAAGGGTCACCGCCAGTATGTTTCCCATCCAGGATCATGGCGTCGAGTGTGCTGCCCGGGAGGGCAGCAGATGGGCACAGCTACCTTGGAGCGCTTTCGTATAAGGTGATCACAGTCTCAGGTGCCCCTTCACAGTGAGCGAGTAAGCCAATCCTTTGACTGTCCCCGTCTGTGTACTGTATGCTGTGACCATGCCATCCCCTTTTTTGGCTGCTTACAAGAGGTCAGGTGCCGCTGATGGTGGCTGCTGAAAGAACTTGAGTGATGAATGCTCAAACAAAGTTTGGGGTCGATCGAGCGCCGATGGTGGCATCATGTAATACCGAATATGTTGGTGCTGTAAGCCAGTTCGCTGGGTTCTTGAGAGCCTGTCATGCAAAGAGACAATGATGTCCATGTGATGGATAATCTCGGTGTGTTTTATTTTTCTGGGGCAAGGATCAACACACATCAAGTCTCAACCAGGCCTCATGCAAGATTGCCTGATCGTCATAGTTTTGCTCCATTGGCCCGTCAATTTTACTTTAGTTTGTGCCGCGTATTCACTGTTTGAATCTGAGCTGATTGATTCTTATCTCTGCAGCTGAAGCTACGTCTGGACAGTTATAAGAAGAAATGCTGAAAGCTGTACAATCTATCTATCATCTTTCTTGTAGCGGGATTTGTCGAGAAGGAAACCTGCAGAGGGAAACCCCCGCACCAGTCCCAGACCAAGTCCCTTTACTGTACCGCTGATGGTTGAATCTCTAGCTCAGTTATCCCCAGTTGGCTTTGGAATGAGAAGAAGAGAGATTCTGTGGTGTCGCCTCCGAACATCTAGTTCTTCCTCCCAGCAATGTCTCATTGCTTTGAAGCAAATGGTCTTGCTGGTCGAGGATTAGAAGCGAGTTTTCTTTTTCTTTTTCTTTTAGTGAGATGTAGAACTGAAGGCTCCGTTACCGTCAGGCGAGTCTACAGCCTTGTCACCTGGAGTGAAATTGCGATGGAATTTGTGTTTGGCCCTGAACAGTAGGGGAGCCCCTGTTGAGTTTATTGATGCACTGATTGAATGGAAAGAATCATTATGCATCACATTTGTTTGTTTGTTTTTTGTGTGAATTTCTTGTTTTATTGGAAGAATCATTATGCATCACGATTGTTTGTTTGTTTTTTGTGTGAATTTCTTGCATGCCAGCTTCAT